TAAATACATGTTTTGTATTTTTTGCTTTTATAAACATGTTTATTTAAAAAAGTCATACCAATGTGCAGATTACTTATTTTCACTGAGTAATATATCATAGTCAGATTTCCATGACAGTACATGTTAATGTACCTCATTCTTTTTAATGGTTGAGTTGTGTTCCATATTACGGATATGTTGTTTGTTACTGAACCAGTCATGGATCTTGGTGTCATGTACAGCAGTGCTACCATAAATATCTTTTCAAATTTGTATTTGTATACTTATGTATTTCGACAGAACATATTCTGTATGCTGATTTTTTTAAAAAAATACTTTTTTAATTCTGTTGCAGCCCTGTTTGGAAATCTTTAATGATTCCTGATCACCTATAGCATAAAGTCCGAACTATTTAATAGTGCTATCTAATAGAAACAATGTAAGATACTAAGTAATTTCAAATTTTCTAGTTTACATATTATACAAAGTAAAAAGAAATATGTGAAAAACTCAGATTGTCTTCTACTGTGTTGACATGTTCTGAAAGAGTGTTGTAACCCATTTGTCTATGAATGCAAGTTGTATTTGAAATGACGGCCAACTGGAAGAGGAGTATAAAGCAGTGAATAGATGAAATTGGTGCAGAGGCAACAAATATGGAAGATCAAAATGGCTTTCAACTTGGTGCCAGTAATCTAAATTGTAGTTTTTCAGGGGATATATAATATAGTAAACTCATTCACCTGGACTTGGATTGATACCCTAAAGAATGACCGGATAGGTGAATAGATGTGGGACAGATGTCAGAGATTAGGGGCAGAGTGGCCGTGGGGAAATGTGTCATTATAACAAGGCTCTCTGGGCTGTGGCAATATTTGTTATCAGTTGCTGGTGTCTTGGTTTCTAGAATATATGTTTTGGTTCTAAGGATTAGGTTTAATCAGTGAGGAGAGTTGGCTAGTGCCCAGTAGGGGTAAGGATGCCCTAGAGCGCTTAGCTGGGTTTGTTGGATGCTAGACTTTGGGAAGAAGACTAATTCTAGACCCCACCTGCTATAAGAATGGGGGGGGTCTCAGGATAGTCTCTTCTCTGTTTTCTGTCTTTTTGGGTCAGAAACTGGGCAAGGTTCAATCTGCTCGTTTATATAAATGGAATGTCTCATAAGCTTGGCTGAATCAGGCATATAATGACATTTAAGAATCTTTTCTACCCAACCTAGCCCTTTCCAAGGCTAAAGTTGAAAGACTAGACATGATCAAGTGATACTTCACTAATTTCTATGTCTGATATGAAAAATAAATTCACCATGATGGAAGGGGCACAAGCATTTATTGACCAACTATGTCTGTGCTAGATGCTTGCATATATGGGAGGGTCTGGCTAATTCCTGAGAGGTTATAAATTAGTATTAAAAATAATGCAGAAATCATATGTGAATACAATAAGGAGGCGTCTCAGTAATATACTCTGGTATTAAAATATGTAACTACATATCAGTAAATAACTATTTAGAGACAAAACTAGAGGACAAATTTGGGTGGTCCAGTTAGATATAAAACCCCATAAAGAATAAAGAGAAAACATGGGAAATTTAATCTCTCTTATTTTCCCCAACTATTTTTTTTTGGGGGGGGGAATTCTCTAAGAAAGCATCGTGATTTATTTTTGTCCATTAGGAACAAAGGTAAAATCAAAATACAAAATACACTCCTTTTCATAGGGTTATCATTTGGTATTACGTGTTTCAGGAATATTGTGAAAAATACATGAACATCTGTAGAAACACAAATGGAAGTGATGGAAGGGCTAGAAAGATTTTGCAGGGAAAATGATCTCTGTCTCCATTGAGAGTCAAACAGGAAAAAAATAAAAAATAAATTTTGAGAAGAGCATTCGAGAATAAATTTGTAACCAACAGAGGGATCTGAAAGCCACCAAAAAGAAACACTAAGAAACAGTTTTCTTCATTGGAGAGTTTTAAGAAAAAGTGTTATTGCCTTCCAGTTGTGGTTTCACGTCTGTTCTCCCCAAAGGCATGTGTGCTTGAAACCCCTCTTGGACCCATAAGAAGAAGATTCGATGGTCCTGATGAGATTGTGTGTATTAGAACCACTTCTCCTAGAAGGGAGATGCTAAAGGGTACTTGAATAAAATATTAAAAATTATGAAGGACATAACAAAGGCCAATCAGTCCTTTCTTTTCCCCAGACACCATAATATGAGAGCAAGGGTTATTTGATGAAATTAAAGAGTAGTAAATGAAGTGCTAATGAAATGAGATAGTCACTTATATAATTCATTGCCATGGGAGGTCACAGAGGCAAATTTTGTGGCTAGATTAAATATGGGGCTGGATAATTTTATGACCACTAATGGTATTTTTAGTAGTTGAGGCTGATATTGTGAGAGAAGTAATCCTATTACATTCTCCAGTAGATGGTTTGCAAGGATGTCTGGCAAGTGATGTCTGAGAAGTGTGAAAGTAGGTCTTGCGGGTTGTAACCTTTGGTGGGAATTGTACTAAAAATTGGTTTTTAATGTGAATGTTCCCAAGCATCTCATTCGTGCTTCAGTCCCAGCTTCTCCTGTGGATACCCAACGTCCTCTCTACTGAGAAGCAGTTAAGAAAGGCATTGCCCAGAATTAGATCATTTTGGGTCTTTGGGAACCACTCAACTTATTTATTGAATGCCACTCATGTGTCAGGTATTTTGCATGGAATTTTTAAAATCCGTTGGGGCTGCAAACATTTAGACACATCAGTGCCATTCTTAGGAAAGGGGACTGCACTAAAGGTGGACTGCAATGTTGCGTGAAAGCAGGAAGAAGCAAAGGAATGCCTCAATCTTGGGAGGTTCTAGGAAGTCTCACAGAGAAGGTGATGGTTGAACTGAGTCTTAAAGGGGCAAGCAGGAGTTTGCTCTACAGGCCAGGTAAGGAGGGGCATTCTAGGTGAAGGAACAAACAGAGTGCACGGGTCCAGAGACAGAACATGACGTGATGGGTCAGGGAATGGCCAGGAGTTGAGGAAGGTTGTCCCATGTAGTCAGAGGGAGGGACAGGGAGAGGATGGGAATGAGGAGGATGAGAGTAGCAGATGGTGAAGGGTCTTGCTTTGCCTGAGACCTCTCCCCAGAGTGCTAGTGCTTCCAGTGGTGGCAGTGGTTTTGGGTGGGGAGCAGAGAAGAGGGAGGTGTCATATGACCAGCAAAGCACATATGACCCCTGCAGCCCTCGCCCCACTTGGGTGAAAGACTTTCCTCTTTGACCACTGTCAGCAGTAAATTGGTGACACAACTCTTTGCTTCACTCATTTTCTTATCTGCCTGAAATAATCTTTACCATGTACCTAATTGCCATCATTAGTCATTAATTTAACAAAAAAAAGAGCCTCCCCTATGTTCGGATAGAGGTAGGTTCTTATAGGTCTCAGATAAATGAGGATGAGTCTAGTGTGTCTGTCTGATTTTGTTCCCTTGGGCTCTGCTAGAACAAAATCAGTCCTTGCGGGGGAAAGAAGAGGCAGATTTCATCTGCCTGACCCCACACTCCCACTTTCTCTGTGAAGTTGGCTCAGCAAACAAGCATGAAAACATACAATGTCTTTGAGGAGCAGGAGCAGATGGATGGAAATGTTAAAAATCTGTTTTGTTAAGCGATTTCAGCTAAGAAAATAATTTAATTAGAGAGAAAAAGCAACCAAACTATATTTCTTCTTCGTTGATATTTAAGTAAGAATGTCATTATTAATCACTCAGACTCCAACTTAGGATTTCTATACCATTAATAATGATACTTTTAAGAAGAATCAAATGGAAATGGGAGAGAGAAAGAATGTCTTTTGTAAACACTGGTTTTGTTGGTGGTCCTATCTTTGTGGTAGATTGGAATACTTTATTATTATTTGTATTGTTACATGACACAGTATGTGGTCAAAAGTTTCCTCCATTACATTATAAAGAGTTATGGAATTGGAACTTGTTTCCTAATGGATAGCCTTTTCCAGAGTAGTCTTTTAAGGCTTTTCAAGATGTTCTTCAAAAACATGGAGTTGCTAGAGAGATATAGAAGTGAGGTTAGTTACAGAAGGTAAATGTGTACATGCCCAATTTACTGTGAGGCTATCTATGTTATAGGAAGGAAATCAGTGGATGAAGTTGAAATACCTGTGCACCAGACACTGGTGTCAGACACCCAAACATGAATAAGATCTTGCCTCACAATATAGTAAGTACAAGAAACAATTTCACCACAACTCTTTGATGAATTAAATACAAGTTATGTATTAGAGGTATATCCAAATAAATGTTAGCTCTGTCTGGGGATCTGACAATTTTCACAAAAGTTAACGTTTAGACTGAGTCTTAAAGTAGAAATTACAGTTAGCCAAAAGAGTAGAGAGGGTAGATCAAGGTAGGAGAGAGCATTTCAGAACAAAAGCCATAGAAATGTCTTCTGAAAGTTTGAACAGCTTGTTTTTCTTTTCCTTTTTTTTTTCTAACTTCTGTTATATCAGTGTTGTTATTTCGAAAACATTTTGAAAAATTCTGCTTTGAAGAAAGAATGAGCTGTATCCTCTTAGTATCTAGTAGATATAAATCTTGTCAGCAAGGGGGTAGTGATCAAGGATTCCTTTAAGTCCCGACATTAATTCACTTAAGTATTTATTAATCACTTGTTCTCCTGGGCAAGACACTAGCAAATAAGTCTTTGCTGTCAGAAGTGAGGTGCATGGCATGGGTAATACACATTTCCCCCCATTTTCAGACATGTCTGTGTAATGAATCAATACAGGTTCTTCTAGTTCCAAATATACTTGATTTTACCTGAAGTATGCCTTTTGATGACTGGGCTTCCTTCAACAAGGTTATTTATTTGCAGTTGTGCGAAAAAGAAACATAAGCTTTAAAAGAGCGTTGATGTCAAATGATAAATGTATCCTTTCAAGGACCATGTAAAAATAGATTGACTATATTTAATAAAATTTTAAGTTTCAAAAAGTGGTGTTCTTTCCCCTTTAGACCTTAGCTGGATCTCCAAAATACAAGTGAATCATCCAGCCGTCCTGAGGCGTGCGGAACAAATCCAGGCTCGCAGACCTGTGAAAAAGGAGTGGCAAGTAAGGGTTCTTCTTGAGCATTCTGTCCCTGTATTTTTACAATGCATCGTCTCTTCCCTCAAGGCCACAGTATTGAATTTCGTTCAAGATGCATCTAAACTTAAAAGATTGCAGCTGTCCATGACTTATTTTAATAATTCATATATGATGATGATGGGTTGGAGAAAGATAACACATTTATCCAAACAAGTTAAAAATCTTATCACTCTTGAGTGGCAAAACCGCAAATGAATTTGAAGCATCTTTATTCATGAGTGAATTAAATGGCATATTTTCTCAACACATTTATTCAGTTTCTTAGACATGCCTTCTTTGGTTGTCTTCTATTTTAATTTTAAAACCCTAACATCTAAACCTGGTGTGTCCACTGTTGAGGCCCTTAGGTATAAGAGTTGACCTTTTTTGACCATCATGTTTACCTTACTATTACTTTTAATAAATCACTTTTCAAAATTCCAGAAATGATGTTTTGTAGAGTGCTTGTGGTCAGCACATTCTTCAGTATATCCCAACCGAAGACGTGCTATGCAAGACTAAAAGGAATTCAGAGGTCATTTCATAAGTGAGGCAGATATTGTGATTAAATCTTTTACATTTTATATTTTGCTCATTCTTGGAAATATTCTGATTGAACAGAAAAAAGGAAATTCATCTGAATGAGTATGAAATATGAGTATTGTTTTAAAAATGGAATTGGATTAAATTGAACAAAAAAAACCAGTGAACTTGAAGGGTTTTGTTTTGGTTTTTTTGTTTGTTTGTTTGTTTGTTTTTTATAATATTTCATCCCAGATCCCAGGGTGAGAGATAAAATGTAAGCTAGAAACCTTCTTCCCCTCAGGATAGACATGGTGGGCTTTCCTTATGGATGAGAAGGGGAAGTCAGAAGTGGGGAGATTTGACCTAAGAGGGGTTTCAATTTAAGGTATCTGTGGGAGAAAAAAAATGTTTAAGGCTACTCTTCACCCCTTTTATTCTGGATAATGTTCATCTTATTAGTAACTCTTGATCTATGCTTTTATTATATATCAGAATATGCCTTAGGACACCGTGGACATGGATATTAGTGCCCCACATTTATCTAATGATTGTCTACCTACTAGGTTAGAGAGTAATTTTTTAAAAAATTTACCCTGTTTTTCCTTTTCTTCAAACCAGGCTGCTTGGCTCCTGAAAGCTGTTACCTTTATAGATCTTACCACACTTTCAGGCGATGATACATCTTCCAACATTCAAAGGCTCTGTTATAAAGCCAAATATCCAATCCGGGAAGATCTCTTAAAAGCTTTAAATATGCACGATAAAGGTAATGTTGTGTCTAATCTATCTGGTATTTACCTGTTTACAATATACTGAGTACCAAATCTAAGAAGACTTAGCTGCTAAAATGATAGCAGGGATAAAATTCATGATAGAAACCTGTGTTATGTGCACATAGACAAATAGTTGAGATTCTTCTCTGAAAAACAGCAGGAAGAGAATCCGAGTCTTGTTTTTAGGTCAGTTCTTTCCATCCATGGATTAAAGTTGCTGCTAGAGAGTGTCTTTATATTTCTTTTCAATTCTTCAGTTTTGGAAGTTTTTTTTTATCTAGTGACTCTAAAATATTGATTCTGATTCCCTAGCCATATGTGAAAAAGCCAGTCTCATTACTTAATAATCACATCTCATACATAAAGTATTTTCTGTGAGTAAATGAAATACTTTTGAAAATAAAATGCAAATCAGAAATATTGTATGTTTGTATATTAGGTTAGATCTTTCCAAAAGAGTCATATTCACTCCCTTCGTATATGTGAGAGAAAGGGCTTTCTAAAGTTGCCATAAGTTTGGAACCTTAGCATATTAGCGACGGAGGAGACCTGTGAGAATTGACCCCCTCATTTTCTAAATAAGGAAACTGAGACCTGGAAGGCTAAGTGGCCTTCCCAAGACGACATGTCTTTTTACTTGCTGGGCTGATTTTGGGAGTCAAATCTGCTTTCCATGGACGGACATTTCATGGCTCCTGAATGCCCATTTGCTGTGCGTGCAACTAGAGATGTTGAATTGGCCCAATGCAGGTATTTTATCCCAGATAATTTGTACATAATTTGCAGACTGAAACAACTCTACAGCTTTTGAAAAGTATTTGTTTGCTTTAGATTGGCAATAAAAACCCCACCTTATGGCACGTAAAAGTAACAGCTTTGTTTAAGATCTTATGATATTGCTTTGCTTTATAATGACTAAACTGATTTTTTAAGAGTTTATTCCTTAAAATGAGGGCCTCAGATTCAGATTTTAATTTAAGAGTTTAAGAGTTTATTCCTTAAAATGAGGGCCTCAGATTCAGATTTTATTATTCCTTATAAACGAGGGAGTACTATTAGTTAAATGTCATTTTTCTGTACCATCCTTTAAATGTCACTTACTTTTTTTTTCATCTGTCCTTCAAACTGTCCTTTCTTCAAACTGCCCTGTTTGAATGCTGTATAAACCTGGGTTTTGTTATCTGCCTGAAATGAAATGTTTTCATTGAGTTATGACCACCAAGTTCACTGTGTAGGCATTTTAAAAAATAGTATTATGTTAATCTCAAAGAACAGTGTATCAAAATTGTTTTGATGACTGTAATGATGAGAAAATAATCCATGTTGTCAAGAACTAGAAGGGAATGTGGAAAGTAAAAACCTTTTAATTTGTTGTAGCATCATGGGGGAATTATTTTTTCTCTCATTTGATTTCTGCCAATGTTGTAGTATAAATAATAATTCAAAGCATATTGTGTGAGTTGAACTTCATCTACAGTAGGCTGTTGCGATTTCTTTCTCATAGGCATTACTACAGCTGCCGTTTGTGTTTATCCTGCCCGGGTATGTGACGCTGTGAAAGCACTCAAGGCTGTGGGCTGTAATATCCCTGTGGCATCAGGTAAAATTTGTTGTGGCTTTTGTTGTTTTTTTAACATGTTTCCAGTTCTTCAACTCAGACATCACAGAGTATGATATATAATTAATTGTATACTATGATTTAAAGTAGTTTTATGTATTTAATTAGTTATATTTATTCATGGCTTTACTTTTTTTATTTTTTTTTCCACTTAATGAATAGTAAATGTATTTTCTTTTCTTTTTTTTTGGAGACAGGGTCTTGCTCTGTTGCCCAGGCTAGAGTACAGTGGCACCATCATAGCTCACTGCAGCCTCGAACTCTGGGCTCTATTCATGACTTTAGTATTTATTAATTTCTTAGCAAGTAGCAGACATTATGTTAATTCCCAGGATTTTGGACTTTTTTTTTTTTCTTTAGGGAACTTCGTTTTTTTGGGGGGACCGTTCAATTAAAAAGTTCTTTTTTGGATTGGTTGTTTTTTTCCTTCCCCTTCCCCCCCCCCTTTTTTTTTTTTTTTTTTTTTTTTTTTTGAAAATTTTAAGGCCTTTTGGAAGTTGCGTTTTTACTTGGGCGGGGATTGTTCCGTTTTGGGGGGTTTGTTGCCCTTCATTAGGGGAAGGCTTCCCCTTGGGGTTATTGTTTCCTTGGTTTTTAAGGGTTGGGGGGAGTTTACAGCATTGATAAGGTAGGGGTGGCATTTTAGAGAGAGGCACTAGCACGTGTGCAGGTGCAGAAGCATGTTCAGGGAACTGAAAGAGATTTGCTCCAAAGCCTGGGCAAAGGGAGCTACAGGAATTGAAGCTGGGGAGTGAGCTCAGGGCCAGATCACAGAGGGGATTCGTGCCATGCTGGGGCATTGGGGCTTTATTCTGATGATGGGGAAGACACTGAAGCCTCAGTCAATTCAGTTTTTCCTTTATGCAACAGGGAAATATGCTTTCCTCTAAGGTGGCAGACCCAAGGAATTTAATAACATCAGGGAAACACAATAGGTTAGCTTTAGAAACAGGGATGGAATTAATGATGTACGTGTAAAATATGTTAATACTTTTTCAAAAGTGTAGTTGTATTTTCATTTTCCTCTTCTTTATACTTAACTGTGCTCTTCTCAGGTCTGTCCTGCCCCAGTTTTGTAGACTAATTAGGTACCTTTCCCTCCTGCATTATCCTTTTCCTTTAATCTCATCTGCCTGGCTAGTTGTTTTGAGAGAGGCAGTGGGGGAAACACATATTCCAATTGAGTTACCACAGCTGATGAGATTCATGAATGGGTAGATCAAGATAGCCATTTGATGAAGAGTAGGATCCAGAACTAGTATGCTAGATAACGAGTTTTCATAAGACAGGGCTACAAATGCAATTTTATGGCTATCACTGAGAAGATATATAATATTTTATATATAATTTTATATATTAAAATTATTAAATTATTAAAAATATTACAGTATATTTTTTATATATATATATATTTTAGACAGAATCTCACTCTGTTGCCTGGGCTAGAGTGCCATGACATCAGCCTAGCTCACAGCAACCACCTCAAACTCCTGGGTTCAAGCAATCCTTCTGCCTCAGCCTCTGAAATAGCTGGGACTACAGGCATGTGCCACCATGCCCGGCTAATTTTTTCTATATATTTGTAGTTGGCCAATTAATTTCTTTCTATTTTTAGTAGAGATGGCATCTCACTTTTGCTCAGGCTGGTCTCAAACTCCTGGCCTCAAGCGATCCTCTAGCCTCGGCCTCCCGGAGTGCTAGGATTACAGGCGTGAGCCACCATGCCTGGCCAAGAAGATATTTTCTTAATGGCTGGGTACTTAAAGCACCCTCCTGAGCATCTCTGCAGCAGCTTAATTTCAGGTCTTCCAGAGAATAGAATATTAATATTTGTGCTAACACCAATACAATATGAGAGAGCATTGTATTTCTTCACACTTATGTTATGCATAACATACATGATGTTATTAACCACTTCAGTACGAGTGTTGACTATAGTTGATAGCCACTGGTGAATGCGCACAGCCGAGCATCAACTTTGGAGTTAATAACAAAACTTGACTTTTCTAATTTTTCATTTATCAAAATAAAATTGTGAATATTTAAAAATAACGTAATGAAAACATATATGTATACGTTACCTATTCTGATTTACATTACGAGTAAAGCTGCCTGTAAAGTAAAACAAGCCTTCGGTGCTTTATAAAGCCTTCCTTATCACACAAGAGCAAAAACAGATTCGTTGTCAATGCACAGCACAAACTATCGTGCAGACTCTGAGTGCCGGCTGTGGGCAAGGTTTTGCGGCCAGTGAGCGCCATACCGAAGTGGTTAATTGTCATTAATAATTTGTTTTCTGAATGCTGGGGTTTTTTGGTCTGAAATTGTTTGTTGATCTACTGACCTGATCAACTGAAATTTGTTTTTCCCTCCTTCCTTCCCTCCCATCTCTCTACTAGTGGCCACTGGCTTTCCGGCTGGACAGACACATTTAAAAACACGATTAGAAGAGATCAGATTGGCTGTGGAAGATGGAGCTACAGAAATAGACATAGTAATTAACAGGACCTTGGTGCTGACAGGCCAGTGGGAAGGTAGGTACATGTCTTGCTGAAGAGGGAGTCACAATTCTTCCCTAAATCATATGGTGGGGATCTGTTAAGAAGCATGTTTTGTAGGTCAGTGTTGTAGGTTATAAGTCACTAGGTCAGAGGGTAAGTTTAGGAGAAAACACAGCTAGGATTGCTCATCCTTCATAAGTCTAGGCAGTTGCCTTCCTGCGCGAACTTTTTAGAACCCTTTGGATGCTTAGGAGGATAGTTATTTCCATGCAATCAATTAATAACCTTTTAAAAAAATTGTATTTTACTGATATGGTTTTCCTTTAGAAGAGAAAAGTTACTGCTATTCTGGACTGTTTTGTTAATCAATACATAAAATCACTCCAGACAAGTCTTTTATGCAAAATTCATTTTAATATGTTAGAGGAAACTTCTCTTTTTTATGTTAATCTTTGTGGTCTTTGAGGATGTGGGGTTATTAATAATTCTGCTAAGTTTGTTTTTACTCCTCGTATCCTTATATATAGCACCCACGAATATTATTTCACATTCACCTCTCTGATTAATGACTCACTATCATAGCAGATTACGATAAAACATTGCCCATTCCAGTAACAAGCTGTTGTTTTTATAAGTAGATATTATTGTAAAGGATCAAATAGATTGGACCTAAATCTTAAATATATTTTGTTTATTAAAGATGAGGTCATTGATAGCTCAAATGAGTACAATTTTCTCTTTCAAAAAAATTCATTATAACAAGTATTTAATAGTTTAGCCAAAAATGTTTAATGAAATCATAAGTTAAAGTCAGGGTAATATATTGTCTCTTTATATATGTGTATATCAAATAAAAGGTGTATTTTATTCTAATTATGGAGGATATATACCTACTCACTGTTAAAAATTCCCGCTAGTCATAAAGGAAGTAGATATCAATGATCTTGCCGTCTAGAAATAACACCTGGCAACACTGCAGTGCGTAACTTGCCAGACTTCATGTATACACACATACTATCCTCACCCTGTTTTAAAGTTTTAATAAGAAATAGGGTTATAGTTAATGTATTTTTCCTTAACCTGTTTATTGGACGTGCCAGTGTCTCATGGATATTCTGTGTTATGTCCTGTCCATCTGTATTTATCTGTAAAGCTTTTATCTGTCTATCTGTAAAGCTTATTTCCATTGTTTATCAGTTATGAATTGCTTTTGGTTATGAAGTAGCAAATATTCAGTCAGTGATTTAAATACTCAAGTATTTATTCTCTTACATGAAGTCCAGAGGTAGGTATGCCAAGGGTGCGTGGCAGCCTTGCAAAGTTTCTGCAGACCTGGGCTACTTTTATCTTCCAGTTCCGAAGCATGTGGCCTCTGCTGTCATGCACTTCACTGTCTGAGATGGCTTCTGAAGTTCCAGCCTTTATACATCTCCCAGATGATAGGAAGGAAGGGCTTGTCCTGTCTGAAAGTCTCGCGCAACACCTTTGCTTATTATAGCTCATTGGCCTGGGCTGAGTTATGTGGCCATACTTGGTAGCGAGTGAAGATGGAAAAGGTAGTTTTTAGCCTGGAATATTACACTCCTGTACATTCCCATTGCTCCCCCCCAACCCCCAATACTCATCAAAATGTATAATTCTCACCAAGTTGAAATTCCTGGTAGTTCACAAATACCATTTTGTATTTTTAACCTGTGTTCCTTTTCTTGTTATTGTTAACGTGTGTTTTGGCCAATTGCAGTCTTTCTTAAATGGCTTATTTTAAATAGATATCTCTGTCCCTGTATATTAACTTTGTTTATCTGCTTTTAGTCACAGATTTCAGTTAACATTTAAAGCTAGAGTAAGAAGAAAAAGTAAGTGTAATATGTAGAACAAATCTGGAAATAAACTTTATGTGATTTAGTTGGATAAGAACGTATATGTCCTTTATGACTTTTATAAAGCAATTATCAATATAGAAATATACTTTATAACTTGTGTCTTTTACTAAGCAGTTGTAGATATAGAAATATAGTTTATACTACTAATTGGAAAATAAAATACAGTAGGAGATGGGTTTTGATGTAATTGCCTGTCCCTTAATGAACTGGGAATGGTTGTTTTTAAGAACTGAAAATTTCCCAATAGCAGGCATTTATGCAAAATATAATAACACATCATTGTCCTGAACCATACTTTTCTATTAACTTTTTCATAGTGTTAATAACCTCTTGACCAAAAACAAATTGAAAAGGAGCAATTTAATATTAGAAATTTAATTCCAAATAGAAACCTGCAATGACTTAGGCCTTTTTTTCACTGCAGTATTTTGTCTTCATTTTGATTCACAATTTGATTACATATTGTATTTTTCAGTGTTATGTTTTAATATTATCTGTTTACTAAAATATGGACCTAAAATTAATTTCTTGGGATTTGCTGATGGAAATGTCTATCAGGCTATTGCATTTTCAAATCCAGAGCTCTCTCCCCTGTGCACTGAGATTTGTAGGATACTTGGTAGAAAGAAATCCCATTTTTTTTAAAGCTGGCCTTTTAGAGTGTGTCTCAACCATTTCTCATGGTCACAAAGGTCCCCAGTTTAGGGTATGAACTCAAAGAGGAGGCTCCAGGAGGTCTCATATTCCTATCCTGGGGTTCTCCTTGTTGACCATTTAAAATCTCTATTTGCCTCAAACTTCTAACTCTTCCACCCTTCCCTGAGGCTCCTTGACCGTTGACAGATGACCTACCTGCTACTTCTCAGAGAAAATAAAACCATCAGATAGGAATTCTGTCAAGGTCCCTGTCTCAGGTCTGCTTTACCTTGCTTCTTTTCTCCTTCCTCCCAAATGCAGTCCCTCTACTGTATTGTTGCTCTCATCTCCTGCATTTGCAGAAGCCTGATTCCATTTATTGGTCATTTTTTAACCTGTATCTGCAGTTTCTCTCAACTAGCCCACTCCCATTAAGCATTTAAACATACTTAAGCTTTCCTTACACATGTAAAGAAAACCCACATGCCTCTTCATCCCTAGCCAAATCTTCCCTTCAAGACTTTTCCCTTGACTAAAATTCTTAAAAGGGTCATTTGTCTTGCCAACAAATTTGAACCAAGATGCTAATGACCTCTCATTTCACTTTGTCCAGGTGATATTCCTCCGTTATTTATTTAGCTTTACCAGCCAGCAACATTTGACATACTGGACTCTTCCTTCCTTCTGCAAATATTCTCTTGTCATCACTTTGGTGATTACATTACTGAGGGTTTTTTTTTTTTTTTTTAATGTTTCCGATTACTCCTGTGTCTCATTTGCAAACTCTCCTGCCTCTGTCATCCCTGAAGTGTCCATGGTACCCAGGTTCTGTCCCAGTGTGACTTTTCCCCAACCTCTACACACTGTCCCTTGGAAACTTCATCTCCCGGCTGATTTCAATTACTTCCTTATGCCGAAGATGACCAACCCCCCCCCCCAGCACCAGAACCCGGGTCCGCCCGACTCCAGAACTCCTGTTCGCTTTCCCACTAAACCACGTTGCTTTTCATCTTATATTTCAATATGCAAGCATTCACAGTCAGTGAATCTTGACAAAATCGGAGAAATCTAGCTATTCTAGAAAGAAATGTGTTCAAAATATTTACATTTCTCTGAATTCAGGTCGGCCAATCATCCCTGGAGTCACAGTGAGACCCAGAACGTACCCAGACCGTGGAGTCAGAAAAGAGGATGGCACCAGGAGAGTGGGGATAGCTGAGAGCAGAGTTTTACATTAGACAGACCTTGGTTGGGATCCTGGCTGTACCGCTAGTAGCCCTTTGCTTTGAACAGGTGCTTCCTGTTCCTTCTATGTAAAATGGGGATAATAACACCCACTTTGCAGGACTATAAGAGGGATGAAGTCACATAATGTATGTGAAATGATCATCCTGGCCGGGCGCGGTGGCTCACGCCTGTAGTCCTAGCACTCTGGGAGGCCGAGGCGGGCGGATTGCTCAAGGTCAGGAGTTCAAAACCAGCCTGAGCAAGAGCGAGACCCCGTCTCTACTATAAATAGAAAGAAATTAATTGGCCAACTGATATATATATAAAAAATTAGCCGGGCATGGTGGCGCATGCCTGTAGTCCCAGCTACTCGGGAGGCTGAGGCAGAAGGATCATTCGAGCCCAGGAGTTTGAGGTTGCTGTGAGCTAGGCTGACGCCACGGCACTCACTCTAGCCTGGACAACAAAGCGAGACTCTGTCTCAAAAAAAAAAAAAGAAAGAAAGAAATGATCATCCTGTTGCTTGGCCCAGATGAAGCCCTCCATGTCAGCTGCAAATTTACCTTCTACTTCTCCCTCCTCCTTCCCCTCATCCTCTTCCTCCTGATGATGATGGTCTGTAGTCAAGGGCAGTAACCTCATAGCGCATGTATTAAGTGAATAAAGTGAAACTCTAAAGACTTCAGTTTTATTTTTTTGTGATTTTGATAATTTATACCTAAGTCTTTGGGCAAACACTTTACTTTGTCTGCCTCCCTTTAAATAAGCTACCAATGAGAGGATAAGATTTAATGAATTTTATAATCCTTTAGAGCTGTCATGACCCATGATTTTAAGTTTGGTGTTTTCATTTGCAGTGAATATTATCAGTACATGAAATACAATATTTCTTTATGGTGATATTGAAGTTGACATCTAAGTTGCATTCCTTAAACTGTTCTGTGAAGAAAACATTCACCAGAAAGTGGTTCATCATCTCATAAATCTTATTAGGCAAGATTTAAAAATTGAATGCGTTCCATGCTCTGTAAACATACAGAAGTGTTCTTTTTACTTTTTTTTAATGACCTGTCTCTGTTGCATGTATTTACCTAATACATTTACCAGTGACAAGGAAATGCTATCAGATTCCACCTTGTTTAGGAATCTAGTTGCTTGAGCTCAGGACCTATAGGTGGCTCTTCTGGTTGTGGGAGACTCATTCTACCCTGGAGCACAAGCAGACATGGCTCCAGAGGGGGCTGGGGTTGTCTCTGGCATTCTCCTTGGTATGTTCAATGTAGCTGT